ACTCTTGCTGTTGCTAGTGGAACACAAACAGATCTTCTTCAGACTTTTGATTGCTTCTCAGACTTGAGCACAGTTTGAGACACTGTTGAGATCTTTATCTGCCTCTCAGTTAATCTTATTGCTGTCTAGGATACTACTGCGATGTTAGTCAGTTCACATCCTTCTTTCCTATGGATAATTTGGATGCTGAACTGAATTTGCTTTGTCATTTCTGGGAATGCTAATATTGCAAAAAAACTTTGCATTTTTATTCAGAATGCATAATATCTGTGAGAGTTTGAAGCCTCAGAGTAATCGGAGTCCATCAGGCACATGTGCAGGTGGCCCACTGGTTAATCTGAGCCGGAGCCAATGGCCAGCCTTTCACGAAATGCCTGTTTATTCTTCAAAGGCCTGTAATGCACGAGGCGGGAGAGGGCGAAATGAACAGAACGATGCACTGTCCAAACAAATCAGAAATGAGTGGCTGTCAATGGGGCAGCACAGTCCCTTCAGAGGTCATTATCATTGTTCCAGAATGCCAATTACCTTCTTGCCACTTCAATCATGCTCTCATCATGGCCAAGGACGGAGAGAAACTGAAAAAGAAGTGGAGTGCGAGAATATAAGAGCGGCAGAGAGAGAGAAAGTGAAAGAGCTGCGTTTGTGCTGTGAAAAGCCATAGTTAGTGGACTTTGCTAAGGCTGCATCAATATTACTACTGCTCATAGTGAGTTTAAACAGACCTCTGACATTACATGATGTTATCTTTGCCATTTTACTTGCTCAAAATGCGCAAAAAGAGGTGGAAAAAAACACAGATGTACATCGAAGGAGGGAGCTGAAACCAGAATATCAGAGAGTTGAGAATGGACCACCTATCAACCAATCAGAACACCTTAGTGACCACCTTGATGACCCTAGCAACCACTTAGGACAGCATAGCAACTACCTAGAACATCATTGGAACACCCTAGCAACCATCCACAACACCCTAGAAACCACCTAGGGCGTCCTAGCAACCACCTACAACACCCTAGAAACCGCCTACGGAGAGAAACTGAAAGAGAAGTGGAGTGCGAGAATATAAGAGCGGCAGAGAGAGAGAAAGTGAAAGAGCTGCGTTTGTGCTGTGAAAAGCCATAGTGGGCTTTGCTAAGGCTGCATCAATATTACTACTGCTCATAGTGAGTTTAAACAGACCTCTGACATTACATGATGTTATCTTTGCCATTTTACTTGCTCAAAATGCGCAAAAAGAGGTGGAAAAAAACACAGATGTACATCGAAGGAGGGAGCTGAAACCAGAATATCAGAGAGTTGAGAATGGACCACCTATCAACCAATCAGAACACCTTAGTGACCACCTTGATGACCCTAGCAACCACTTAGGACAGCATAGCAACTACCTAGAACATCATTGGAACACCCTAGCAACCACCCACAACACCCTAGAAACCACCTAGGGCGTCCTAGCAACCACCTACAACACCCTAGAAACCGCCTAAGGCATCCTAGCAACACCCTAGCAACCACCTACAACACCCTAGAAACCACCCAGGTCATCCGAGCAACACCCTAGAAGCCACCTATATGACATCCTAGCAACCACCTACAACACCGTAGAAACTACCTATGACATCCTAGCAACCGCCTACAACACCCTAGAAACCACCTAGAGCATCCTAGCAACACTCTAGAAACCACCTATGACACCATAGCAACACTCTAGAAACCACCTATGACACCATAGCAACACTCTAGAAACCACCTATGACACCATAGCAACACTCTAGAAACCACCTATGACACCATAGCAACACTCTAGAAACCACCTATGACACCATAGCAACACTCTAGAAACCACCTATGACACCATAGCAACACTCTAGAAACCACCTATGACACC